TCGGATATTACTCGGCACAGATCCCTCCAGCACTTCGCATCTGTACTAAGTCCGTGCCCCTAGGCTGGCGGAAGGACATCGCTAGATCGTGTCCCGCCAGCGATGCTGCGAAGCGCCGGCAGGGCTATCCCCCAGCCCCATCGCTACTAGTTCCCACAATTTGTCCCGAACTTTCCTTAGTCTTGAGTTCGTCAGGGGAGGTGCGACAACGCCCAAAGCTAAGTAACGTCTATCCAATCGTAACGGAACAACCGCCGTGGCGGAACACCAGTAGCACTATCCACCACAACAACGCCAATAGCCATTGCACCGCTTAGATACTCTCAGAATAGTCACTTAGGCTCTTCAGGCTCTTTAAGATCTTATATGCTTAATATTTTAGAGTGGCTTCCCTGTCGACTTTACAATACCGTATCTCATTACTCGTATCCTTAACACCTTTACCTCGACCTGCCTCGGCGTTGTAACGGCGCAGGTAAGACAATCGGATCCGTGTCGGACGTAGAGTCACTCAGAGGCATATGGGAGTGCGTGGGACACCAAAGGACCTTAGATTCGATAGAGGCCTATAGGCCTGGTACGAGAGGATGTCAAAAATCTACAGAACAACTATATCAGACAACAGCTACTTATACCTGCTGGTCTGAGCTGATTCGGATCGTGGTCGAATCTATGTCGGATCTGTATGCGTGCGGGCTACTAAGATGGTCGTGATTCCAAGCCGTTACAATGCCGTTACGACGCCCTCTAGGACCTGCTGTTGTTCTCTCCGCTGACTAAATAAAAGACCTAACTAGTTAACTAAGCCCCACCGCGTCCTCATGCTTCTCGAGTCCACTAACGCCAATTCCTAGACTAAGCAGCAGCTGATATCTAGTCTCAGCTCGTTGAAGGGGATACGGTGAGATAGGAGAGGCGCCGGATAAGGTAGAATGCGGGCGGCACACATCAGATCATCTGACTAAGGGCGCTGCCGGAAATAGCTGACTAGGCAAACCGTGACATAAACGCCGGCGTCTATACGTGGGGTGGTTCCCATAGCTAGAGGCTTCTAGCAAAGGAGAGTAAAATTTGTTGAGCCAATATGTCACGGCAGTTGCGATAAACCTACCTATCTCATGTGATGGTTCGGCTGACTAACAAATAGTGCGTACACTCATTGACCTCCCTCTATTTCTAGCGTTGTCCAGCCTAAACGTGTCACCATGAAGATTGAGCCCATGAGCCCATGGGATGATTCATCTCAAACCAGGATTCTCTTGGAGAATCGTCGCGCTGCTTCCGGCGCTTTGCTTCTGCCTCCTCCCGCTTCTGTTTCTCCTGATTCGTCCTCTTATTCTTGAAATGTCTGCTGATACCGACAAATTCGAAGAGTTCTGGAGTGTTGGACGGAGGAGGTAGCAGGCATGCAATAGATCGAGGGACAGCCATTTTCAGTAGATGTTGATTGATAAACGTGACGGAAATATTCTCGTCACTACCTTCCACGCCAATATCGACACTAGGCTGGCCAGCGTATTCGGGTGCCTCGAAAACTTCCAGGCTGGGTGTGATATTTGGATCGATATAGATGTGTCCCATGGTCTGCTTGTTGGTCCGTTCACCAAGTTCATCCGGCCAGTAGAACTCAATGTATGATGTCGGATGGTCGTATTCTATGTCCTGACACCGGGCAAAATCAGATGAGTATATATTGAAATGAGCCAGCTCGAGGTTTAGCCTTTGGTCCTGTATGCCTCGCGTGTTATTCTGTTGAAGCTTGGCCCATTCTCTCTCCACTTCATCTTCCCGAGCTTTGTGATACTCAATCGCACGCTCGTGATCTTTGCGAAGTTCAACAAGTTGCCTTTTCCGCTCTTCTCGCATCTCCTTATACTCCAGGTACCATTCCGCATCGGAACCGGCGTACACAGAATCCTCATCCATGAAATCGCGTTCGTCAAGATCGCATTCGCATTCTGAAGTATCCGAGGCACAGTGGCATGCACCACTGCTTTCCGATTCCAGTTCTGAAATATCTTCATCAAAATCCTCTGGATATGGTCCATAACTAGACCGGCGCCCCTCACTTTCGATCTCTCTGACAGCCACGACGCGGTAGACGCGTTCATACCAGAGAGGCAGCTTCTTCCGCGGTAGAGCGTTTACGATTGGGTAGGGTTGAGGCATTTTAAACTCTTTGGATCTTTTAGGTGCTCTGGAAGGCAACTATGGACGGGTCCGGAGTCAACTTGTTTGCGAAAGTTGGCAGAGTTAATGTTAAGGTCTGAGGTTGGATTAGTTAGCACACTAAATCTGTTTCGGATCCATGATTCAGGAGCGGCCGAGCCGCCACCATGTGACCCGGTCTGAGCTGCTCACTCCCTTTGCGCAAGATCCTGCACGGACAGGAACAACAACTTCGCAGGAAGCACGCACTTCCAATAATTAAAGCACAGATATACACCCACTTCGCCCTGAGACTTTAGCAAATAATCTGGAATCTTGTTAGTTTTTGAGTACATTATGGCGTCTCACATTTATTATTCGGTTGTTGCACTTTCGTGGTTGTAAGAACACTCTAATGAGCCCTTTACCTCCGTTTCCAAGACAATACAATCGGCCGCGTCGAGTGTCTTGCATCAGACCTCGCCCTCAATTGTTGCCGTGAAGAAAATACGCGTGAAAGACTGGATCGAGCAGCTTTCCAAGCCAGTTTCAGCCCGGACGAACGATCTGTCCCCGCCGTTGCGCCTGACAACCACCCATCTCTGA